TCAAAATGAATAAGAAAACGACTGTAATCAGTACGTAAGTATAGTGTACTAGATGTTCATTGATTAAATTATGTTTCCCAGGATCCATATTTTCAAAAGATGTAACAACGATGTAAAAAGCGGTAGCCTATTCATGAGGTTTTTAAAGCAAAAGACATAATCCCGGTGTAAAGGTAGCCTACCAAATCAGGATTTTTCTGACTCATCCTGAACATAAGTTAATCACATGGATAAGAAAACGACTTTACATCAGTACGTAAGTATATTGAACTAGAAGTTCATGGATTGAATTATGTTTCCCATGATCAATATTTTCAAAAGATGTAAGGTAACATCAGTACGTAAGTATATTGAACTAGAAATTCATTGATCAAATTATGTTTCCCATGATATAAATTTTCAAAAGACGTAACGTAACATCAGAACGTAAGTATATTGAACTGGAAATCATTGATTAATTTATGTTTCCCAGGATCTAAATTTTCAAAAGACGTAACTACGATGTTAAGAGCGGTAGCCTATTCATGAGGTTACAATTCAAAAGACAAAATCTCAGTGTAAAGGTCGTCTACATAATCAGGAGTTTTCTGACTAAAGTTTAATCACAAAATAGAGACAAATGGACAAACTAAATAAAGCGAATTTTAAGAGAATCCCGTAGGTCGGGAGAGATATATGAGAGATGCGTGGGGTACTAAAGAACCTTTATTTTCCAATATGGGGAGGGGAAAAGAAGCAAAACGCGGTGAGAATGCTTTAACACCGGTCAACGGTGAACATTTATAATTGACATACGAGGAAAACGCCTTTTAATAATAATACCATTGCAAGAAAAGACAACAGCTAGCAAACAAAAACCTAATTGCAGCAACAGCCAATCAAGTAGACAACAATACGCTGAATAATGGACAGTAACAAAATACATGGAGTTAACAAACTAGTTCTTTTGCAGAACTAGGTGGGCTGGGGTAACAGCCTGGGCTGCATGACGACCTAACTGACATGTGGCCTGACCCAGGTCGTATTTACCAGTATACGATCCTAACAGGCCCCCTACCCTGAGGCTAACATCTCATTATCTAATGGGGGTGCTGGCAGGTCAGGTAACTCGTTTTACTTCTAGCTCACTTAGATGACAAATGGGACCCTTAGGTATAAATAAATCTAAAAACTACCATGTACTCATCTACAACTATCTAAAAACTGCCATGTACTCATCTACAACTATCTAAAACTATCTAAATTCAAAGAATTGTAGCTACTGAGGATCGTCATGATAGACGTGAAACATTATGTTTAGTATAATTCTTTTTTTTTAATAAATATGTGAAGTTAAAAACTGAAATAAATATAAATCATGATAATATTAATATCACAATGGCTTTACGATGTCAGGACTAAATAGTTAAACAATTATTTAATTTGGTCTATCCTGCTCTAAATAACATCTCTTCATCTCTTAATAATGGAGCTACTAATTGTAATGTGGATCTGGTACCAGTACAAATGTCGGACTCACAAACGTCGGACGCCACAAACGTCGGACCAGTACAAACATCGGACCAGTACAAACGTCGGACCAGTACAAACGTCGGACCAGCACAAACATCTGACTAGTACAAACATCAGACTGGTACAAATGTCGGACGGGTAAATTTATAAGAAAAAACGTTGGACTCGGTAGATTTTGAATGGACCATTGTTTTAAAAAATTTCAAACTATGAATTCTACTAGATCATACAGTTTAATCCTTATATCTTTGCAACCCACTGTTGTAGACCTTAGAAATTTCAAACTATGAATTCTACAAGATCATACAGTTTAATTGCTATATCTTTGCAACCTGATGTTGTAGACCCTCTAAATGTTAACTAAGTTTAATGAACTCGGGTATATATATATTTACATGCATATAAATAAGGAAACAATTTTAAACAATTGCATTGATAAGAAATTACGTAACTTAACAAAAAATCTCTCCTCCTTTCTAGTTGTTATAATAATCAACAATGACAGTCATGTACTGTTGTATGGATACTTTCTTTTCATAGTTTGAAACCAGGCTTTTTAAATCTATTCTTCTTTGATCTCTTCCTAGGTTGTGACTGGTTGTGGCTGTTGCTACATTATTCTGTGGTCCCAGAAGAACATCTCTCATCTTTCTATCATTGGAGTTTTCCTCTGTTCTCAACTGCTGGATCAAAGCCCAAATGCTGGCATTATTGGGCAAAGATAAAGCAAAGGCAGCATTGAACCCCTCTGCAGCATTACTGGTCAATGGGTCATCTGAGAGAATTGTCTCATACTTGTTCCAAACTGCATGGGGGAATATTGGATTCCTCCTGGCTCCTGTTCTCCAGTCGAGTACTCCTATCCATGTCTTCTCAAAGTACTCTAAGAATGAATCAACCTGATCAGAATTGTCTTCAAAGCTTGGTTTAAGTTCGTCATACCGAGAACTGATCACATCTTCCCAGGTTCTAACAATATCCTCTTCTGGAACTAAAGAAAGAGCCCAAAGATAGCGAACCAGAGTTTGGAAGTCAACATTATTCTGGTACAAACTTCCTAATCCAAGCTCAGTTGAAGTCAGTTCTCTCTTAAAATGGGTGTCACAGCCCATTACAGGCACGTCAGGATAACAATTCAGGAATCCTCGCATGATTGCCTTCTCAATATCTGTCTTCAAATTGCCTGGTGGGGTTACATTTGCATCTTTAAGATACTGGAAGACTCTTTGGTAGCTTGAGGTCTCCTTGTTTGGAAGGAGTGCAAAACAACAGGGTACAGTGATACCTGTGAATATGTGAATATGTGAGATGAGATCTGAAGAAGCCCCATCTTGGGCAACCCAGACCGCCTACAGGACTATCCGACCCCTACCGGTAAGAAAAATCCTGAACCAACCCGGCCACCTACTGCGAGGAGGGGTACAACCTGGAGGAAAGGCGTGATCAAAGTCACGATGCGTACCCTGCAACAGCCTATCACTACCTGGTCAAAGCTGAGTGGTTGCTAACCTCCACTCTTCAAGGACTGTCAAGGTCTAATCTCCTCTTAGCATCATTGTTTCAACGTCCGTACCATCCCCCCCCAGGAATTCTATCATGATAGCATGTTCTGTCATCAATGGAAGCCGGGCCTCCAGAAAAACGCAAATTCCTGTAGCCCGCCTTGCATGTCCTGCTCCTGGACAGTCAAGGATGACATGCAGCTCATTCAGCAGTACTCTGATACCCATTGCTGAGCACCATGGACATTCCTTGTACGGTTAGGCCCAGGTGATTGGGACTTCGATTTCCCAGACCTGCATCACCTGCTCTTATCTGGTTCAAAACTGCACACTGCTTTGAGTCATTTATGTGAGCCTGCAGTTTGAACCAGTCTTTTGGCTCAGTCAGCCATCGCAATGATGAATGGTCCGATTTCGCCTGTCGGAGCTGTGAAGCATGGTGCTCTCGCATCTGTCTCTTGAGCATTCTCTTCGATATATTGTCTAGATCATGTATTCCAGCCTCTTCTAGGATGGCTTGCACTCTTTTAGTCCAAGGGTCTGTCAGATCAGCTAGAATGGCATCTACTACTGCCTTGGTAATCTGGTCTTTCTTCCCTGCTATGAGAGAGTGTGTAAAGAGCATGGATTTTGTATCCAAGCGCTGCTGGATTGGCTGCAAACCTGCCTCCATCCATCCCATTACCTGGGAAGACGACTGGGGAAGCTGCAGAATGAACGAGGCAACTGAGTGCTGGATTTTCTCCAGTTCCTTAACTGTTGTTTGGAAATGACCATTGCTTCTGTCCCATACAAGAATCCTGGGATTGCACAGGATTCCCATAGCCTATAGGCATTCAGGGCTCTATCCAAGCCTGACCGAGTGCGGCCCATGATAGTGTGAGCGTAAGTGCGTGCTCCCCCTATCATTTTGGACTCAAGAGGTTTGATTAGATTTCGACCCTGTAAACTAATTTCAATCCCCAGATATTTTGCCACCAAGGCCTGTTCTATATCCGGTGCTCCTTCAGTGACTTTCCATCTGTTCTGTAGCTGTGACAGCAGTGATAATAAACAATTGATAGAACAAGGTTTTCTTCACAACATCAAAAGTACCATCAGCCACCCAGTATTTTGCCGACTTAAGAACGTTAAGTTGCTCAATGCTGCAAAATATGATGATTCTCTCAGAGTTATCATCTCCAATATGCTCATTGATTGCTAGAAATCTGTCTCCACGGATTGTTGTCTCAAGATGTTGAGGTACAGACATATCATTCCAGCTTTTGGGGACCTTGGTAAACCCATAATGTTCTACTCTTGCTCTCTTGACTGCCGGTACTAAGGTATTTGACTTCCTCATGGCACTCACCCCTTTGTTGGTAAGTGTGCTTACCATGTTGGTCATGTTTCCAAGAACAGTTCGTGGACTTATTGCTATATTTCCAGAGCTTTCTTTAACCACTTGGTTTTTTCTATTTCACATACTCTTTTCTTCAAAAGATCACTGTCATGTGAATGCTCTCCCAGGAAACTGATAATCTTGTCATTCTCATTGTTTACAACTGCTCCTGCAGGACAAGAATTGTTTTTCCTTTGAATGCATTGGTAATAGGTTTTGTTGGGTTTCTTCTTTGTAACCCTGTATTCAAACTGATTTGAATCAAGCAGGTGCCGTCCCCCTTGCTTGACCTCAATATAGTTAGCAGTCTCCTCGTCCATGTATCCAAACTTTGTGAGATTGTGAATTTTTAACAAAAAAAATTGGGATTTTTTTTGAGATAAAATTGTGAATTTACAAGAATTTCAATCTGAAAATTCAAATATGTTTTTTCCTCCTTGGTCCGACGTTTTTCCTTATAAATGTACCCGTCCGAAGTTTGTACTGGTCTGACGTTTGTGCCAGTCCGAAGTTTGTACTAGTCCGACGTTTGTACTGGTCTGACGTTTGTACTGTCCGACGTTTGTAAGTCTTATGTTTGTAACGTCCGACGTTTGTACTGATACCGTGGATCTCTCTACCTCGTCTTCTATATCCTCCTCTCCCTCTGCTGGTTCCAGAGCTCCGAGCTGTGTTGCAATCTCAAGAGCAATTTCACTCTGTGTAGCAATATACTCGCGGTATTTACTGCTCCTGTTAATATACAAATATAGAATACTAGCCTTAGAGGGCGCTTCGCGCCCATCTTCTAAATTAATTGTGAACATGTTCTCTTTGTGGACTTCGTAAAACAAAACAAAAATAATTCGCGGATTTTCACAAAAAATTTCGCGGATTTTCAAAATTTTTAAAATTTTAATGACGATTGAATTTTGATGGAGACAAATATTTGAAAATTTGATTTTTCATAAACCTTCCCTGGGGTCCCTAGATGTCCCACAAAAAATTTGGGCCCGATCGGTTCAGCCGTTTTGACGTTTATTGGATACAAACAGACAGACAAACAAACAGACAGACAGACAAGCCAAATTTATATATAGATAAACATATTTCCTGCTCCTGTTTATACAAGAATATAGAATATAAACATATTTCCTGCTCCTGTTTATACAAGAATATAGATTTTAAACATATTTCCTGCTCTTGTTCATACAAGAATATTAAGATATAACCTTGTATGTATATATCACAGGAAGGGTTTGATTAAGAATTTCTTATAAAAAGAAAGAATATTTAGTATTGAATTACGACCTGTGTAAATGATCTCCTGTTAATAGACTACATCTCAACACGTCATCATTCGTTATCTTGCTCAGTTCATTCAGATCAAACTCTAAGCCATCAAATTCTCGATCATACTAGAAAAGGGGAGGATTAGTATTTTCATATTTTCTGGATTCATGAATTTATTTTTCATCTAAAATAACATTGCACACAGGCCTCAATTGTAAAGTATTTTTGTATAACAAAATAAAAAGGAAGAAAAAATATTTATTCTCCAATTTTCCCATGTTTTTTAAAGCTTTTTCTATAAAAGTCAGATTCAATGACAAGATAGGTGTTCTAAACATATGCCTGTAAGTCAAGAATCTCATTACCAACATCAGAACGAAGTTTAAGGTTTTCAGATCACTTTTCCCCCTGTTTTATCTTATTTTCCCATCTGGAAAACCTTAAACTTCGTTCTGATATTAGTAATGAGATTCTTGACTAATAGGTAGGTGATATAAGCTCCTAGCTGGTATTTGCTTCCGACTTTTTGGTAAAAAAGCTTTAAAACATGGAAAAAGTGGGAAAGAAGGGGAAAACAATATTTATTCCCTCTTTTTATTTAGTATTACAAAAATACTATCCAATTAAGACCTGTGTGCAAAAGATTATTTATTTTCATGAAAAATGAAGTCATGAATCCCGAAAATATGAAAATATTAATGTGGATAAATATGATAAAATAGGGGGAAAATAGGCTATGGGCAAAAATGAGCTGAAAAACCTTAAACTTCGTTCTGATGTTAGTATTGAGATTCTTGACTAACAGGTAGGTGTTTATTTATGTTTAATACACCGGCTGGTATTTCAATTAGACTTTTTGATGAAAAAGCTTAAAAAAACGTGGAAAAATGGGGGAAAAAGGGGGAATTTTTTTTTCAATTTTTTTATTTTATTTTACTTGAAAGAAACACAAATGATGCCATTTGCAAAATTTCATTCAAAAAATGAAGACAGGATTCCCAAATGTATTCAAATTGGTCAAACTCACCCTCCCCTTTGATCTTTTAAAATTGAATATTTTTAGTCGGGGGAATTTTTATGAAATATAATTAATTCAAGGAAAATGTTTTTATTTTATTTAAAAAAAACTGAAACATCATTTATATTCAAGTGTAGTGTAATTATCCGAGCTGACCGGACATGTCTCTGTGAGCTCCTGGATTAAACTGACCGACAACCCAACACCTAGTTAACTAATTCTCATGCTCCATACTATATGAAAACACAAACACTCATTAACTTGTTTAGTGCATTTATTTCCAGTAAAAAATATTTCTACTAAACTCAAAATGACTGACACAAAAATTGACATGGGTCTATTAAGCGATTTAGTAAAAATTAATTGGAGAAGTTGAAAAACTCCAAAGAAAGTGAAGGGTCTGAATGGAGTAAAGTGCAAGGAAAGGATAGAAAGGCAAGATGAAAGCTAAGGGAAGCATTGTTGATGCAAAGATAGATCCAACAGATCTAATTTCTATTCTTTCTCTCATTGTTTAGGCGATCACTGTCTTAGTTGACCAGCAGGATATACTAAGGGAACACAAAAATAGAATTGATGATCTGGAGAAGCAAAGTAGAGCACAAGGTGACCAACTTGATGAGATTCAACAACGTTCCATGAAGGGAAACCTCATACTCTCAGGGGTTGCAGGAAAAAATAAACCTAGCTTGATAAAACCTCAGGAGCAACTTAAACAGGAGAAAGTTACCACTTATGCTTGTCAGTTGATCAAAACTAAATATAATGTCGTAGTTCCTGAGAATGACATACAATCATGTCACTATCTACTGAACACCCTGGGATCACCTCACGACTGAGATCAAGAAGGAGGGAAGAAGGAGGTTGGTCTGTATGCCAATTTTCAATTTACTAACAAGAGAAACAGCCTAATGTATCATCTCAGGTCTATGAAGAAAGAAGGTAAAATCAGCAAACTATTCTCTAATGAGAATGGTCAGTTAGGTCTGAAAGTGTCCGATACAAGTGAAAAGAAAGTGATAAGTTTTGTGCCTGATCAGAAATATGGAATCCCAAAAACTCAATCTTGCTGAAAATCCAGGCTCTCGTAAGTTCTAATGTTTAAAATCGGTATATAGTAGTACATAATATTGCCAAAAGTATGCACAAATAAGTTAAATGAGTAATCTAATTTTCATACTTTCTCTTATTTGTGAGCTTATTTTCTCTTTTTTTAATCTTCTTATCAATAGTTTCAAATCAATTTTGAATTTCATTTATACAATTTAATTCCGTTACTTTCTGTTTCCTAATCTGACAGATTTTCCTTTATGTCAGGGGATATGGGGGCGGAGCTTTGTTTTAAGAAGGGAGGGGAGTCTAAAGGGTGCCGCATTTTCTCAAGATCTCAAGCTTCTAAATGATCCAGGATAATATTTCACTTACACATGTACAGCAAAACAATCAAACATTCGATTTTACATACAATTTTAAAGATTCGGTTTATGAAAATAATATTCATAATTGTCAATACTTTGATGAAGATGAGATTAACAAAAAATTTAATAGTATTTTAACAGAGCAGTTTAGTGTTTTTTCTTTAAATATCCAATCTCTCCCTGGAAAATTTAATGAGTTTTAAACATTTTTAGCCTCAACCCTGGGAAAATTTAAACCATCTGTAATTGCTCTTCAGGAAATTTGGAATAAACCTGCAAATCTTTCATTTGATTTAACTGATTATCATCCACTTCATTTTACTGTAAGAGATAAACAGGGGCTTAATAGTAAAGCAGGGGGAGGAGTAGGACTCTGGGTTGAAAAATCACTTTGTTTTGAACCGATTAATTCAATTTCTATCTTCTTACCTCGCGTTTTTGAATCACAATTTATTAAGATAAAAAATGGGAAGAATAAATATACAGTTGTAGGTAACATTTACAGGCCTAACACTGCTCCGTATGCAGACGTGAAATATTTTAATCAAACAATAAGAGAAATTTTTTCAAAAATTAGGTCTGATCCTACTTTAAGAAATGCGCAGGATGTAGTCTTAGTAGGAGATATGAATATTAACCTTCTAAAACATACATTGCATAGTGACACAGAGACTTATTTAGATACGCTTCTTGAGAATAGTTTTTTGCCTCTTATAACTCTTCCTACTAGAATAGGTCACAATTCAGCAACCATTTTAGATCATATTTGCACTAACATTGCCGATGATAGTTTTGATTCTGGCATTATTGTTTCAGATATTTCTGATCATTTTCCTGTTTTCTATATTCGACATTTTAAAGATAAATTCATAGAAAAAAAGTCCCAACAGAAAACTCGAAAGTTTGACTCTGAGTCTATTTTTAAATTCAAAAAAATGTTAGAAGATAAAAATTGGGAAAATGTTCTTCTGAATAGAGATCAGGACAGTGCATTTAATAATTTTTTTGATTCGATTGATAACTGTTTCGAATGTTCATTCCCTGAAAAAAATGTAAATCCTTCCAGAAAAAATAGACCTTTTAACCCTTGGATGTCTGAAGCACTGATAATATCGAGAAAACGTAAAGCCAAATTGTTTAATAAAAAGTTGAGGAAACCCTGTCAGGAAACTAAATCTAGATTTAAAGAATATAATGCAGTGTATACTCGCCTTGTGAGGGCAGCACGAAAAAAATACTTTAATGATAAATTTCAAGAATATAGTAAAGATTGTAAACAAACATGGCTGACTATCAATAGTGTACTAGGAAGGGGACGTAAAACAATTAACATTCCTGATGCATTTGTGAGCAATGGAAAAGTTCTCTCAGGGGCCGTAGAAATATCAGAGGGTTTTAACAATTTTTTTGCTAATATAGGTCCTGATCTGGCAAAAACTATTAAGGGCACTAAAAAACAATTTTCTGACTTTTTGTCACAGGGAACAGATGAAAACTTTGTTTTTGCAAATATGACCCCTAATACTATAAACGATGCTCTTAAATAACTAAAAAGTAAAAACAATTCTGAACCAGACAAAATTTCAACAAATTTGCTAAAGTTTATCATACCAATTATCAAGGGTCCTATCTGTCATTTATTTAATTTATCTTTCAAAACTGGGTTTATTCCTACCACTCTTAAAACTGCAAAAATCGTCCCAATCTTCAAGGCTGGGGAAACGGATAATTTTACAAATTATAGGCCTATAAGTTTGCTTTCTTCGTTTTCAAAACTTCTAGAAAAAGTGGCAGCAAATCAAATTATGAAATATTTGAATAAATTTAAACTACTTTATGAACATCAGTATGGCTTCAGAGCCAAGCACAACACTACTCAACCCTTATTTCATTTCTTAGATAAAATATACAACGCACTAAATGTACCTGTATCCGAATATACTCTGGGAATTTTTATAGATTTAACTAAAGCTTTTGATACCTGTGATGTTGACATTCTACTGAGCAAGCTTGAACACTATGGATTTCGTGGGACTTCTAACTTATGGTTCAAAAATTATTTAAATGTAAGAAAACAATTTACTTCAATCAGGGGTGTTGACTCTTCACTTAAAGAAATCTCTTGTGGCTCTTGTGGTGTACCACAAGGGTCGATATTAGAACCAATTTTATTTCTAATTCTTATTAATGACCTTCCTAAAGCATCGAAATTTTTTACAATTCTTTTTGCCGATGATACAACACTGCAACTTTCTTCAAAAAGCTTACATGACTTTTATGATTGGGCAAATTTTGAGCTCTCCAAAATAGAAGATTGGTTTAAAGCAAACAAACTGACTTTGAATGCGTCTAAAACCAAATATATTCTCTTCAAAATTAAAAAAGAAGATGTAAGTATCACCTCTTTAAACTTCAAATAGATAATAAAGATATAGAAAGAGTAGGAACTGGATGCAAAAATGAATCTTTTAAGTTTGTAGGTGTTCATTTAGACGAAAATCTTGACTGGAACCATCATCTTAAGTCGGTTAAAAACAGAGCATCCAGTGCAGTTTTTGCTTTGTCAAGTGTAAAAAATATTCTTCCTGGGAATATTTAACTAACCATTTACAACTCTTAATTTCGATCATTTATAGAATATGGAATTTCAGCCTGGGGAAGAAACAAATGTTCAGAAATGAAATAAATTCACATTTTACAAAAACGAGCAATAAGATTAATTGATAACTCAAAAGCCACGTCTCATAGTGATTCTCTTTTCCTTAAGTATAAGATTTTAAAGATAAATGATCTGGTAGACTTTAACCAAGCTATATTTATGTATAAATATACACATAAACTTCTCTTTTTTACGGAGCCAGTGAACACAGAGAACAAAAAAGATAGGAAAGGTTAGATGGAAGAGAAAAGACAAAAGAAACAAAATCAATTCTTAAAAAGAAAAAAAAATTTCCTTATTTCTTTCTTTTTACTTTTCATGACTGACTGAGAAAAGGACAAAAGAATATAACTCAATTATTTTGGAAAATCCAGCTTTCTACAAGTCATTGGCAAAACAACGCTTCATGCGATTATTAAAGATCATATTATTATTAACCAAACCAAATAGTTAAACCTAAGGAAAAAAGGAAGCAAGATCAGCCCGCGTAAAATAAGTGTTCACTATGGTTTACAGGGTTACCCATAGTCAAGTTTTTAAGACAGTGGCGCAACACAAAACGTTGGGGCGTATGACTTTTAACTAATCTTGAGCAAAACAAAATAATAGAAAGACTTTGATAACAAACTGGAAATTTATTGATATTTCGTTTTTATTTGTATGCGTGAGCTTGTGCCCACAACCCTTATCCAAAAATTATTAAAGTTAAAAACACATAAACTTCTTCCTGCATCTTTTGAAAACATTTTTAAAAAGCTTGGAAACTTTGAAAGATCTCTTAACTATCAACTTGACATTCTCAAAATGTGCTCATTACAGTATTTACCATCAAGCTCTCTTCTTAAGATGTGGAATGACCTGCCTCTTGACTTAAAAAGAAGCAACTCTCAAAGTATATTTAAAAATAGACTACTAAATTCTCTTTTTGAAAATTACATTACAATGTGTTATAAACCGAATTGCTATTCATGTAAAACTAATCAGATATGTTTTAATATGCTTTGATATTTGTTGTGTACATGTCAGAAAATTACTTTAAACTCTAGTTATTCTAATTAATGTATAAACTGTTTTGCATAAGATAAAATCGCACCCTGATATCTAATAGTTCTCCTTAAATCTATTTAATTGAAATGTGTTGTTATCATTATTGAAATTAGGTGGAAAAAAATAATCAAAACAGCCAAGAGCTATTTTCCACCTAATTGCTTTATACTTGTACTGTTAATATAATCATCAGTTTGTAATTGAAAACTCGTTCTGTACACAGATACATGTATTTTAGCAATAAAAGTTATCTATATATCTATCTATCTATTCTTAATTTACTGTGAAAACAATTACCATGGGGGGTGAATTTTTAATAAAAACGCCTAGAACAACTTTCAGGGAGAAAAAATCCTGAAAGATCCTGTGTTAGTAGAATTAAATATAAAATCTTAATAACACCTTTGTGAACAGTCTTTCCCAACATGCTTTTCTCTCTTCCATTATTTCAGGAGGATGCTCAACTCGGTCGAAAATCAGTCCTGCAAACAAATTTTAGTCTCTAAATCTGTAATTTTTTCTTTTCTTTAAGTTATGTCACTAATGATTGTAGCCTACCTAGCTCTAGCAGCTTTGCGTCCTGGTCCATATTTTCTGAAAAATTTAGTTAATTTTACTCCGGGCAACGGATAGGTATTGATTAGAGTAAAAAACATCTTTGTTCTGATCATTCTCCCAGTCTCTGCAGGGTCTCCAGCTCCGCATAGGGTTCTCGGAGCAGGAAACCAGCAGATCAGTCTCACAGTGCTTCTTAAACCTTTCCAGATCCTTCTCTGCTTCTCCCAAGGTATAAGCGGTAAATATGAGCAGGGACGGATACGGCGGAACAAGATCCTTCATATCACTCCAACCTTCATCCCAAGATACTCCTTCTCCTTCATCGTCGAACTCGGAGAACCCGGCGTTCTGAACAAGAACCAGATCCGGGGGTTGGTACGCGTCTAGTTTCTTGAACTCACTGTATCGCATTGGAAACACGGAGTAAAGAATGGATTTCCCTGAGCTCTGACAGGATTGACAGGTTGGAACACTTGGTTGGTTCTCTTCCTCCTCCATCAGAGCAGGACCAATGAATGTATATTCTATCTCTTTTACTCCAGGTAATCTGTGCAGTAGATCTAGAATAACAAGATTGTTTTAAATTGTAATTTCTTTTGTCTTTAGGATAACTAACTCATTTTTGAAATACTTACATTCCCATTTAATAAGTCCCATCATCTCATAGATGCTCGCCCCCGCAATGTGTATCCTGAGTACTGATTGGGTTGCCAGAGCAGGGTTGTGTTTCTCCATATTATCTAGAAGAGTGAGAGCTCCACTAACCTGGCAGGTCAGGAAACAATGATCCAACTCCTCTTTACTAAAATACAAGTAAATATTTATGGATTACGGAATTTTAACGAATAAAGATAAAAGAATATACTTTGCCAAGCAGTTCTTTCCTAAATTCGAAATTAATTTAATTTGAAAAGTTTTCGTTTCGACAGTTGAGAAGTTTTGAGAGAGGAAGGGGGCGTATGGAACACTTGTGAAATAGTTATTAAGAAAACACTTTTTAAATTACAGATACAGATAAGGGAATAATTGTGACTTAACATATTTTACTAGGCGTTCATTTCCCGAAAGGCATTGTTTTCATATTGACAGTTCACTTCTGTTCAGAGCATTAAAATACATTTTTTTGTCCTATGGTTTGACTAGTAATGACTGAGAGGGCGTCTGGGACATTTGGGAAATAGTTAATTAGTTATTATGAAAATATTTCATTCAGAGGTTTTCATATGAGGAAGAGTCACTTGAAAAATACCAGTCGAAGATTAATTTAACTGAAGAAATGGTAAACCTGATTTGGTCTGTAGGCTGCTCTGGCTCTGGAATAAAATGCGAGATATCTGGAGCAGTGCCCAGGTAGGTAGAGTCTACGTTGCTAGGGATGGCCGGCATACCAACGTTTACCACACTCTTAATAGAATTAGAAGATTACGCAGGGGTTTTTTAATAATTGTTTTTCTCGTGGTTTTATCCCTTCCCTTTTCCCCCTTTTCCTTTCCCTTCCCACTTTTCCATTCCCTCTTGTCCCTTTTCCCTTTCCTCTTGCCCCTTGTCCCTTTCCTCTTGCCCCTTTCCCCTTATCTCTTGCCCGTTTTCCTTCCTCTTCCCCTCTTCATTTCCCTTCCCTCTTGCCCCCTTTCCCTTCCCTCTTCCCTTTTCTCTTCCCTTTTCTCTTCCCTTTTCTCTTCCCTTTTCTCCTCCCTTTTCTCTTCCCTTTTCTCTTCCCTTTTCCTTTCCCTTTTTCTTTTCCCCTTTTTCCCTTCCCCTTTTAACTTTTTACTTCATTTTTTCCCCTCACACCCAATGAAAGCTCATATTTTTGCCCCCCCCCCCCCGGGGGGGAGGACAAACAGAAAAATATATACCCCTGATTTAAGGGAGTGATTTCAATTACAAAACATCACTGCTTGAAATCAAGATTAATCCGGATCCGTTAAATTCGCAATATTTGGACTAGAAGTAAAATTGTTGAATTAAAACTTGTCCAAAATAACATCCGGATCCATTTTTTTTATCTGGATCCCCATCAAACTAAAATGGATATTAAGCACCGACATTAATACAAAGAATAAAAAAACGTTTAGGAAACCTCATAAACATCTGCGAGCATAGCTATCTTCAGCTGTCTACAGGACAGATCATGCCTCTCCTTGTCCTGCTCAAGGTGCTGTTCTGAACAGTAGGATACACAATAACATTCACCGCAATCATACATCTTGTCCTAGTACAGAGAAAACTATGATGAATTGTTTGATCCAAAACAAACAAATTAATAGATTTTCGATTAGCTTTTTCTTTCATTTTAACATTATTCTTAGAAAAATACCCCCCCCCCCTTTGGGAGAACATCCCGATTTTAACACAGCTTTATTTAATTGGTTAAATTGGGCAATATAGATTTAACCAAGCTTCTCCGAACTGTGATCAATAAGTTTCGCTAACATAAGTTTAGGAGTTCTTAAAGAAGTCCGTCCATTAATTTTATAAAAAGTTTACTCTATCTCAATCCCGGTTGACTTTGATCAGGTTTTTGTTGTGATTTAAGGAGCGTTCTCCTGAAAGTTAATTAGATTCGTTGTCATACAATGGAAATATTTGGGAGAATGGTCCTTAAACCTGGAGCTAACCTGGGCAGTATGACAGGTTCTGCAAGAACGAGGAAACAAGAATATTTCCTTCTCTGCCAGCTCCAACCCTCGACCAAACATTATCTCACAACTAAATTAATATTCAATTGAATCAATCCAAATAATAGAAAAAACTTATTTTATCTTTCTTACATTTCGTCCATTTTCCATCAATTCGTCTTGTCAATAAGAGCACTGAATGTGACCCTCCGGCCTCCGTATATAGAAGGCAATGTCCGATTTAAAACGGTACCCTTGAAACCAGTGTTTCGGATCCATATCATTTTGATTCGGATCCGGATCCGAGGTAACTTTTGATTCTGTGAATCGGATTTTCCCTATTAAATGTTATGCAAGGTTATAATTTATAAACTATAGTAATCCTAAAGTTAAAAATGTCGTCATTACTATTATATAAATGTAAACATTAAATTATTAAAGATAATTTTGAAAAATTTTCGTCATGTAAATAATACATTTACGAACCATTTTGATTTATTTATTCCATGGTTTTGGTTAATTTTTGGCGCTACCCGGATCCATATCAACGTTTCCTGATACGGATCCGGATCCGGATCCGAAACACTGCTTGAAACCTTTTCTGAGCAATGATGTGAAAGATATAGTCGATTTTCTAGGTACGTGTTTCATTTCTGAGCAGACAAAGCTTTTAAGGATTCCGTATCGAATGGGGCATTGTCATCTTTACATGGAGGGTCACATGAAATTACGCGTGATTTTATAACAAATCAATTCGTCTATTCACAAATTAATAAATCCTTTTAATCAGACAGTAACATTTTTTTCATTAAGCAATAAGTATATCCATTAATCAATATAACTGTTAATTAACTAACTGAAGAATTCATTTATTAGTTTCTGTTACTTTATAATCAATTAAGAGAATTTGTCTGTCCTGTCATTGATAATTTTTATAATTTTTATTCTTATTTAATAAATTAATCATTAAATTTATGAACCATTGTTCAAATCAGTTTATCAACCAACTAACCTATTAATTTATTAATATATATTAACTAGGCCAACTTTTCAATCGATCAATTTTAAAATTTAATAATCAATTTATTTGTCAACTCGCGAATTTCTTTATCAATTAATATTAAAAATACTAACGTTAGAATTGCATTCATTCTAAATGTATTCCACTCCTTCTGCTCACATCCTCCCATACAAGAGAAAAAACTAAATATATAACAATCTTAATTATTGGAAAAATGAAAAAGTCTTAATATTTAAATGAATTCAGTGCAGAGGATCCGGATCCGTATCCGTTGGATCCGCAACGGTCAGGCTTCCTGGATCCGGATCCGTATATTTCTACGGATCCGGATAAAATATCAGCCGAAACCAACCAAAAAAACTGTTTGCTCTAAAATACAAATCTTAACTTTTAACTAATGAGAGATAATAAAAAAAACTTCATAATCTCTTAATAATTCAAAAAGTTTCACCAAAAAAATATGCAAAAGAAGAAAAAAATGCGTAAAATCATTTGGATTCCAAGCATGCTCTATCCGGATTATTGTTTCGTTGTTTCAGGGTTTGAATAGCAATTGCAAAACTTTCAACCAATATAAAATTCAGTGACAAAAGCCTAATTGCTATTTAAAGAGTTGAGGAGAAATAAGTATAAAAACATACCATAACAGAAAAAAAACGGGGAGGGGGTTTGTAAAATTATTCCGGTTGGCTTGTACCTGAACTGTTCCACCTCTTGACCTGCAGCAGCCAGGTAGTTACACAGCTTCTTATGCTTCTTCCAGTGCAGTTTCTGATGATCCTAACAAACAAATAAATAATTGACAGCCAATCAATAAATCAATCAATCAATCAGTCAATCAAAGTTTTAGAGACGTCCTACTATCCACATTTCAAGATTAAGATCAAATCAAGATTAAGATATGGACTTACAGCTTTGCAAAAATAATTTTTTTCTTCTGTTTTCTAATTAGTTCCTCAGGATTCTAACAAAACAAGCCAATAATTGACAAAAACAACAAACCCATGATACCCTCTTATTAGTTGTAGTTAAATATTGATTATTTCCTTCTGGGACTTGTTCACTTAATTCAAATTGCTTCTTCCCTATTTTTTTGGATTATTGTTGGGGCAGGGAGGATCTTTATACTAGGAAGTTGACATTAAAAAGACTCATTTCTCTAGGTTAGGATGATTAAACGTATTAGTTATAATAATTTCAAGTTAAAATTTATCATTGATTACCTCACTTATTTTCATTATAACGTGAACGAAGCAAAATGTTAATAAGTAGTAATATATAGCCGAGACATCTCCCCCCACCCTAGATGTAGTTTACCTCAAATATCGGAAAATAATCCCGGGGAGGGTGGGGGGACAGTTCTACCTGTGAACAATAATAAACAGATTTGCATCTGGTACATCTCTTCATACTGTTCTCCTTCGTACTCTTCCTTCTGCACACATAACAAGCTCCCCAGTAGAAATGGGGCTCAGCTAGGATAGGTGCTGATTCAACTTCACTCATTTTTGTCTTCTACTAAAAATAATATTTCAAAATACATTTTATGATCTAGTATTAAGCATTCTTTACAACAATTGGCGGGTCCGTGCTAGGGAACAGTTTTTGGACCCCCGGCCCTCCTCCCTATCAATGTTGTACATGACCTAGATTTAAACTATTTTCAAACTAAAAATTTAATTTGTATAATTTCAGGGTTAGGTTAGGACAATTTCTGGACCGAGCGCTGCGGCTAGGACAGGAAAGGGGCCAAGCACTGCGGCTAGGATAGGCTAAGGGGCCGGACACTGCGGCCATAAAGGGCGGTCGCCCACCCCGTGTTGCCCCTCTCTGATCGTCTTTTCGCTGTGTTTTAACTGTTGGGTGAAAAGTTTAAAATTTGTGGTTATCACATGCACATCTGTATGACCTATAACGTCGTCATGTAAATATCGAAATTAAATTTACTAAAATTTGCACTAAAAGTCGAGTTAAATGTAACTAAGACTTCACTATAAATTTTCGAATACAATACCTTCTTTTGACTTTTGATGGAGCGAAAATTTAAATCTAGAATATTGTGTGCGGCATTCACTCTTTATCAACAGCAAAGACGATCGGTTCAAATAAAAGGGTGGTGGATTCTCATTTGAACTACTCCCGTTTGAACTATTGTTCGTTTGAAATATTGTTCATTAGAACTACTGACATGACGTCATATCCTGTAGTTCAAATCGACACATTTCTTGCTCATTTGAACTATTTTTCTACCACAATTTAGTTTTTAAAATTTTTAGATTATAATTATGATAACAAAAAATTATCAGTTATGTTTCAAATTTAAACTTTATAGTTTAAATTAACAAACAAAATAGTTCAAATGTTAACATAAAAATAGTTCAAATGCAGAACATTAAAATTGTTTAAATGAACATAAAAATTTAAATGAACATGAAAATAGTTCAAATAAACATAAAAATAGTTCAAATGAACATAAAAATAGTTCAAATGAAATAGTTAAAATTGAAAAAAAAAGTTTAAATGAACTTAAAATATATAGTTTAAATGAAAAAAAAAATAGTTCAAATGAAATAGTTCAAATGAAAAAAAA